AAAATATTTAAAGAATATTTTATATCAGTATAATGTTTTGGATTTAGTTTATAAGATATGTTGCTGTAAGTAAAATAAAAACTGAACTTATTTTTTAAATTTAGTAGAAAGGTATAAACTTATCGGAAACTCTGACTTTTGCAAGAATTTAATTCACGTATGCATTGTAAAAATTACAAAATTACTCACACAAAAGCGCGCTTAATTCAGTGGTGCGTAATTCAGTGCACTTGTACATTGTGTTCACTGTTCAAATATTACGATTACGTGCTTAAACTTGACAAATCTTTCATTTTTCTAGTGATTACCGAGTCTATTCAACCTTAGCTTATTGTTGAACCTGACATCTTTAAATGCACATTAGTAGATGAGAAAACAAGTAAAGTGACATGAAGCAACAGTTTCCAATATAAAAGTTTAAGTTTGAGCTATTAGAACTTTTTTTTAAAAATAAGTCCATTTGTTATTTTAACCTGAAGCAATCGTAAAAAGAGCGAAAGCTGTTCCTCTAAACTCTTACAGGTCGTGGGAATAGGAAAAGTTTCTGGTTTAAAAATAATTTATTTTCTTTACTTTTTTTGCTCAAATTAAGTAACAGAAAAGGTTAATGCCACGTTGTAATTTAAAAGATGTAGTCCATGGGAGTACATTTTAAATATTTTATTCATGCATAGAAAAATTACTTAAGGCTAGGATTATTCTTTAAAATGAGTTTTTTTTAAGTGTTTTTGCTAGAAATTAAATTGTGGACTAGATATGCATGTACAAGTTGCCTTGTGATGTTAAAAGTTAAGCCACGTTCTTCTCTAGATAATTCCTCAAAATTCTACTTCTGATTTTTAAGTTAAAGTTTGAAAGCTAAGTATATGTCACAATTTTACAGATTGATTATTTAGAGGTACACAATTCCGAAATTAATTTTTTGTTTTTTCTCTTTTTTTTGTTATTCTCTTATAATGTTACAAGTTTAGCCCCGACAAACACTATTATAACTTGACATTCTAAAGCAAATTCATTTTATTAGTAGTAGTCTGCCAGGCTTTTCTCCATGCAACTCAAAAATTTTTTCATCATTTTTTTGACTAATTTGCCCTGGTCTGCGAGGTGTAAGGCGCCATACTAAAGAGTGACAGTTTCAACAAAAAAAAAAAAAGTGAAAGAAAGACATTAAAATGTAGTCTTCGTGGTGTAAATCTATTAGATATTTTTTTAAAATGTTCCTTGTAAAGTAAAGCTTAGAAAGAGTTCTATTTTCATAATCGGACATTATATTATATTAAAAAAATTACAGCTATATAACACCATTTTCAAGATTGGTACTTGTAAAAAAAATAAAGAAAGGGAAAAAGTAACATTCCTCCTAAAAAAATTGATTTTTGGAGTGCAAATTTGTAAGACTAGTTTTTAGTGTCCATAATTACATAAAAACTTGAACAAACTTATCTCTATACTAGTTAAGGTTCAATTCCTGTATTTGAAACAGTTTACAACCGAAATTCGAAAAGGACAATCATATATGTCAAAAATACTGATTTTGCGGAGCACATTTGTGAAAATGTTTCAATAATTGTCCTTTCTCATGAGAACTTTTCCCAAGTTTCTCTCTCTCTCTCTCTCTCTCTCTCTCTCTCTCTCTCTATATATATATATATATATATATATAAACGTTTCTCACCATATTTTAAAACTCTCTTGTAAATTTGAGCAGTAAATTCTAAACTATTTGGATTAGGGGGAATCTTTTCTTTTATATTTGAAGTTTGAATTACAGTTACTTTAGTTTTAAATAATGCAGACTATTGAATAAATTTTCAATGCGCAATATTTTAATTCCATTTTATTTATGATTTTTTTTTCAAATTCATTTAAATTAAATTTTAATAGCGCGATATTGTATCAAAATAGCAGCACTCTTTCTCATCTATGCATCGTTAGTTGTATTTAGAATATAATCTTCGTTACTTAAAAGACCTCTATCCTCTCCATCCTGGACTTTAGGTAAAATTTTTAATTTGTGTTTTCTTGATATTTTTTGTACTTAACAAACTTTTGATTGTACAGTATCAGTAGACAGAGCAATACCTTTCAAAAATAGGAGAAAATAAAGGGGTAGTTTTAATAGATTAGGTGAAATAGCGCTTATAGAACATCTATTAATTTTCCCTCAAAACTTAAAATCAATAAAATTATGCATTTTATGGTGTTCAGTAAGTAATTTGAAACTACACGTTTCTAAGATTTTAGATTTTTTAAAATCTAGATTTATTAAGTTTTAAACTGATAAAAACTACTTTGGACGATGCTAAAAAATTTTTTAAACATTAATTACATAAGAACAAACATACTTATCAAAAATCTGAATAAGCAACTGTTTGCTATTTAACTACCTATCAAAAAGGGTGGATTGCTGAATTCTATTGGTATAATTTTGTATTTTTGCAAGTGTCAAAAGATGCTGCCAAATAGAGTAATGTCCATCATTAGTTTATTTCGTGAAAATTAAATGATGAGGTTTAAATAAGTACTTAGAACTTTCGTACCCCGTCTCTTCCCCTTCGACAATTTAATTCGCTTGGGAGATGAAGGGACTTATAAAAGTTTGATATTCATAAGATTTTATGATAAAGATTCGTCATTAGCCAAATAGGAATAGAATCCCATCTGATTCTTCTAAGACCATTGTCAACAAAGTAGTTCATTCCAATGATAAACCTATTTTTGAAGAATCATTATTATGCTAATTTATCACTCCTTAATCGTCGCTTTTATAGGATGTATTAAATGTCCCCTAAAGTCATCATAAATTCCTTACATCTCTTCAATCCAGGATATATTATTAACTGTTCATTTGAAACATGGGAAATAAACGAGAAAGAAATCATATCTTCGTGAGAAAGATAAGAAGTTTAGCACGCATCGTCTTGCTGTTCCATGGTTTCATGCATGGAATGAATATTTGAGAATATCTATTAATCAGATATCGGTCAATTTTATTAGTTATTCATCATCTAAGGTAACGGTAAAATCTCCCGTTTGAATGAGCAAAAATATTCAACTTTTACGCTGTTGTTTAATCGTTGTCGATGTATTTAGATTGTTTTTCTCAAGAGCTTAATTTCGAATCAAATGATTTTTCTCATATTAAGGTTTCAAAAAGCAGATTTCTATTGAAATCGCGATAATGTGCGATAGATATGAGATTGGCAAAGAATCAGATGCAGTTAATAGCAAATTAAATATATTTAGTGAATTGGTCTAACACCTTGGAGTGTAAAAATCTGAATTTTTTCCTTAGAAATTTTTTTAAAGACTAACATTTGCCAGAATGGCAAACTTTTCTGTAGACTCGGAATTTACAAGAATTGAAAAAATCTCAAAATGATTACGTGTCCCACCAGACATTTCAGTCTACAAAATACAGGCCAGAGAGAAAAACATGCATAGTTAGGAATATTAATGAAAATGTGCATTAATGAAAGCATATTAATGAAAATATATCAATGTACTTATCATACTGTACTACATGAAAAATGTACTTTCGATGAAAGTATGTGTTTCTTTTATACTTTTCAGCAAAAATATCGAATCTGAAATTATGAATTAAAGTTTTATATTGGTGACTTTGCGCCTATCCCTATATTTTGAGGTTGTATAAGAAAGTTGATTCCAGTAGTTTTGGTATAGACGAGTACACGAAAGTCTAGAGCTCTTAATAATTTATTTCAAGTTTTGCCCGTTTCGCTATATCACGAGAAATCCAGTGAAACTAGAGCTTTTTGCACTCAATTATAAAATGTATTAATAAAAAGTTAATTTTACGTACAAAATAATTTTTAACTATTTATTTTGTTTAATAATAATCGAAAAAATGTTTGAATTTCATGTTTATTAAAATTTTTATATTAAATGTGAAATCCTAAATGACAAAGTACGAAATCGGCTGAATGGTTCTGAACTTTAAAATTTAAAAAAAGCGTATATTTAAAAATTTGATTTCTTGAAAATTTTCGATCGATTTTGTCAAAAAAAAAAAAAAAAATTTAAAAAAATAGAGACATACGGTTTTCCGCGTTCTGCTTAGAAAACGAGATAATTTTTTTCTTCAAAGTTTCAAAATTAACTGTAAAGTTTGTTAACATCTTATTTATTTTATGACCCTCGTTGAACAGACGATCCAGTTTTGGGTTTGACTGCTAATGTTCAGCTATGTAGCCTTGTAATTTTGTGCCCAATCCAGAAGACAGGGGAACTCCTGGATCAAGTATTGGGAGAATTTGCCTTCTTGGAGGACTTTTTGATGGAATTAACCCACGTTTGCGTTACATGGAGAGGAAAACCGCGAGAACATCCAATGGTTAGCCAGACGGCAAGGGGACTTAGAGTCATGATCCTTCTACCGCTGAGGATATTTCACGTCAGCACTGTGGTCTGTGCAAGCTGGATGCGGAATTCGTATCGACCAGTCATCGCTGTGATTCAAACCCGGTTCAATTCATTGGAAGGCGACAGCTCTATCCCCTGAGCCATCGTGGCTCTTTGTAAACATTTTGGAAAGAACTATAAAAACAATTTTCCAAAGTAGTAACCATTTTCAACAAGAGCATAGTACTGTCTAAGGACAAAATTAACACAAGCTCATGCAAATATTTTTGCTAAAATGGTCAGTCAGGCAGGCAACAAGAAACTTGATTGTATATCTGTTTCAGTCATCAGCGCCCTCTGTTGACATACTTTGCATCAAATTTTAAAATTTGGTGAAAATAAAACACGCCGTTCTTCCGAAGATATTAGAAGCGAACCATATTTATATCTTCAGTTTTTCTTTCATTTTTTTTAAAAATTCTTTATTGTCTATCATTTTTTGAATGTCTCATTGATTAGATTGAATGCTTTAAAAAAAATTTTTAGTATGAGAGAATGTACTCAGAGCTAAAAAAAACTTTCATTTAATGACTAATAAAAATATAGCTTAAAGTTCAATTAGCATTATTTTTTTTCAGGGAAATGTCATCATCAAACCTATACTCTATGCTTATTATAGCAGCCATTCTGTGCATTTGCCCAGCGAATAAGACAAAGAGCAAGACTCAAAAGTCCACCGAAAATGGAACTTTAGCAACTTATCGAAATTCATGTTTACGTCTTCAAAATATTGCTAAGTGGATGACAGTATTGTTCAAACTGAAAAGTGCTTGGGTTAACACAACAACAAAAATTATGCTTGAAAATCCTCTACTAGGTTCAAATGCTCGAAGTAAGAGAATGTTTTATATCTTTAAATTTTTTTAGCAACTTTTAATGTTTTTAGCAACAAAGCTTTCTTAACAAACCTTCAACAGTTACAAGAAGCTAGTCTGTTAAAAATTATTAATAACATTAGATAAACATTAAAATTGTATTTCATCATAAAAATATAAGACAAGACACGATTTCGATAATTTTTTTTAAAAGATATCATTTCTTCACTTTTTTGAATGTCAGAAACAAAGATAGATTACAGCTGTAACTAACTAGTGATAATGATAAAATAGTAATCTATCTTGCAACAAAGATTAAATGTTATCATAATCTACGATTAGTATTTTAATCGTGATTACAAAATAATTATAATTCTAAGTGAATGCGACCAACAAATTTGAATGATTACCAGTAATACTACATAAAATAAGTCCTTCTATGATCTATCCTTTTCCCTTTTGTATGTGCTTCAGCTTTTGTTTGAAAAACTATTTAATGTCTTGAACTTCATGCTTTAAATTTAACTCAATCCAATTACATTGATCAAACTCACTATGCTGAGTTTTTGCGGATTTTCCTTTCTTTATTTAAACCAAAAGGGAGTAAAAAAAACTTGCTTAGGTGTGAAGTTGCAGAATGTAAATGATCTAAGTTTTCCTATTGTATTCATATTTATTTGGGTAATATAAGGGTAAGTTTATAGTTCAAGTTAGCTTTTTTCATATGCAGAAATAAAAATGTATAAAATGTTTATCATTTATTTAATCACAAACTGAAAATAAAATTAAGAAGTCGGAAGGCATATAAAATTCGAAACATTTGATATTATTTAAAAGGTTTACAAATACGCATACCAACTCTGTATAGCGAAAAAATACAATTCAGTGATGTTCTCACTTAAAAAAGTTTATTTAAATTCTAATCATAGCATATTTGTTTAAAAATTTCTTTTCTGAAATAATTGTCCCCGATGTATTTTCAAAGAATAATTCTATTTTAGACAAATATGGGTTTTTCGATTTTCTCCTAACTTCCCCTGTTATTTTTTTTTTCTTCCTTTAAGATAAAATCCTTGCACTGTAAAAAAGTTGCTGTATTTTTTACAGCACTGGTGTAACGGTAAAGAAAGCATTTTTTGCTTTGAAATGTACATTGTTTTTAGTCACGTGCGTCAGATAACCAATCTGTCGAATGAAATAGTTTGCCGCCGTTTTCCTTTGTTTCTTAAAGCATTCGATATGCTTAGTTCGATTTTTTTTACATACTATTAGTTAACTCTGATATTATGGTTGTGGTGCGAGTTGAAAATCTATTGCAAACTTTTGAAGTTAAAGGAATTCTGTGGTTTTGAAGCAAAATATTAAATTACAAATCTGGAAAACTTAAAAAAGAACATCTGTTATTTGAATAGTGCAATAAGAAGAACATGCGAAAGAAGAATAAATTTATCAATTGTGCAAGAAAATTGTACAGATTATAAAGTGAGTTTTTATTTTCATCAATATTTTTTTTAATATTGTGTTAAATTCAGTATTTATATTTACGATGAGTTAATTAAAACTTTAAACTTTCAAAATGATTAAATTTATTTGGAAAAAAATGTGATTAAATAAAAAAACGTTTTCTCTATTTTAATTGCAATAATATGTGTTAATGTGAGGAATAAGATTTGAAAGTATTTTATATTTCTATTATATGCGATTTATTTTTATTGATTTTGTGTTATAACTTGTTCTTAGATTTTATTTGTAGATTTCTTTCTTAAATATAGATCTTCGCCATATTCTAATTGCAAAGTTTCGAGCTTGAACTCTGTTCTTAATAATTTGTCTTTTATATTACGTATAAGGTATTAGATATATATCCTATCATCTTCGATATTCAACGATATTTGTCATCGTTACTTGCTTCAAAAATATAAGCTTATTTTTTATGCTGTCTCGTTAGTTAAACTATATAAACATATCTCATTTTCAATATGTAGTTCTTTTATATGTGGAAAGTACAAAGGCTCCACTTTGTAAAGGAGCAGAAAAATTTCACACTAAAATTTTGATAAAGTAGACCCCAATTTACTGGTATTATTGTGAGTTGTTTAGTTTTGGAATATGTATATATAGCATAAAAAGCTTCTATTAATCTTTTTGTTATCCTAATTAATTATTCTAATCGAAATACTTTCTCACACTTTTAAAAGCCACATCCTGTCCTTAAATCTATTTTTGGTACAAGTATGCATTTAATTAAAAGCAGGACACTTTTCCCTTTAATCTTCGTGGGAATCACTCGACCTATTTCATAAACCAATAGTAATTTCTAAGATTTCCCTCTTTTCCCTAAATAGAGACATTTACGGATTTTACTTTGCAAGATTTTCCCTAACATATACCCGAGGAGCGCAACTTTTCGTGTACACTTTCATGACTGCTCTGTCTTATAATTAATAAATTTTGCACCGTCCTTCCCTGCCTAAGACCTGTTTTAATCCTTCCACTCGGCAACGGCGTTATATATATATAATATATATATTCCAATTTTAAATTATTAAATGCTCTCCCGTTATGGTGATACGAAATAAAAATAGTGTTAAATGGGGAACTTATTAATAATTTTAATAACGAAAAACAAAATTGTCTGGCATTTTAAAAGAAAATAATAAGTATTGCTCAATACTTGGTCTTTTGGAAAAAGTGGAGTTTGATATTCCTACTACCCAGAAAATGCAATTTTATTCTTCGGTTATCAAAGTAGCATCCATTGCTTTTCCAATATAATTATCTTTATTTCGAGTTACTATTGTAACCGATTTTAAAAGTGAATTCATAAGAAATAAAACATGTTTGATTGCCTGATGCAGCTTTTGTATGCTTCTTGTAACCGCATTTTAATTACTCACTGTTTCATCCGGTAATTAAACATGCTTGATGTTTTCAGTTTCGCTTTGCTCTGTTGTGATCAGTTAGACTTTGCGTTCTCCTTGTTCTTATTTTAGGACCCATTATATGCATAATTTTTTCCGTTGCTTTCTGATAAGGATTTTTAAAAATATTTTTTAAGGATGGTCCCCACGGAAGGCAGGTTAAAGTCCCAACTTCATTTAAATCAAAAAATAAAATGTTTTGTTTTCAAAAATCTATTCTTAAAATTTACAAACATTTTAAACAGGTTTGTAAAAACATTTTTATCAGAGAACATTTTTGTGATTTGCTTGATAACTGTGAGAAAATACTTATAATCAGCAATATATTAGTTTATGAAGTCAAATAAAAACAATAGCATTTAGATTCAGCTGAACATTTTGATTGTATAAATTTTTTTTAATTAATTACCCATTTAATTTTTTAATCGCTAGTTAAACATGCTGGGCTAGTAAGTAATGATAAATTATTACCGCTTTATAGTGTTATTATCAGATAAATGGAATTTACCTTAGATAAAAATAACTTGTTCATATCTATTAGAAAAATAATTTCATTTTTTCTAAATTTTTCTGATTAAATTATTCAGCAATCTATTATAAACAATTGTATGCAATTAGATTTTCGGATTATATCACTATTGATATGTGTAAATATTAATAAATTATATTTGCTAATAACTTTATATTTACTTCACTTGTGTCTTTCTTTACACAATTATAGACATGACATTATTAATGCTTATATCAATTAATTTGATTACTTCTTTTTATGTATATAACTCTAAAAGTTTAACAATATAGTTTTATATAAGCTATAAAAAAACCATATGTGTTTTACAGCAAAACTTGCTGCCAGCAGCAGATATAAAATTTACCACGTTGCTATATTGAACAATGCTGTAAAACTTTTGTAGACTGATGCAAGTTTCACAATTTGCTGTTACTGACAGTGCACAGCACTGTCTAAGTATAAAATAAGTTATGAAATAATATATATAGTTATAAATGGTCAGAGAATTGGTTCTCCCTTATGAACTCACCGCTTCGCTGCTCCACATTAATTCTGCTGATTTAATAACAATGCTCTCCTTCAAAGACTCGCTACACGATATAGTAAAATCATAACTTAGGTCATGGAAATACGTTTATCTGTCTCTAGTCAGTAACAAATTTTATACAATTTATTTCAGAAATGCGAAATGTTCCGAACTTGCCAAGTATTCGTAATATGAAAGGAATGGAAGCAGAATGTTCGTCTTTGCAAAACCTTCAAATAACACTCAGAGGTTACGTTCATTTTCAAGCCCAACTACTGCAACTGAAAGCAGTATTTGGAAATATAATTTTACAAAGAGCTCTTAATACAATGAACGAGAGCGTAGCTTTAAAGGTAAATATTTTAAATTTTAAAGTATACAAGTAAATAGCATTTGAGTAAGATAAAATCAAGCGAATGTTTAAATTTAAAATTTTCAAATTATACAGTGTTTAGTTCGAACGATTTAAGAGTGTTCAACAAGTGATAGAAAACTTAAGCATCTTCTTTCAGATAGTATACAAAACTCGGCAAGAATGTCATTTTTAAAATTATCATTTTTAAAAACACTAAATATTAAATTAAAAACAAAATAACACTGCGAAAGGATTTTTTTAAATTTAAAATTATAAAATGCTCTCCCGGCATGGTGATACGAAATAAAAATAGAGTTAAATGGGGAACTTATTATTTTTTTTTTTTGTCATTATATTATTAAGTCTACAATTTTAAAATAAAAAAATAAGTAAAATGTTTGATTGTTCAATGCTTGGTTTTTTAGAAAAAGTGGGGTTTGATATTCCTATTACCCTTCTTTTAATGATATTCCTATGTGAGGTTTGATATTCCTATTATATATCTTTAAATTACAAAGATGAGTTCAAGAAGTATCTTCACTAAATATAATATGGTAACTTTTATTTTAACCACTTTAAAGTTATACTTCAAAATTCAACTTAAAATATTCAAATCAAAAAATTTTTTTTTCCTGAGTAAGCCCCGAAATTCAAAAATTTTACGCTTAGGCTTTTTTTTCTTCTTATTTCTTCTCGTTTTTTTAATGAATTTATCTTTTTCCACATGAAACGTTTTTAATATATTCTTTTTATATCGTTATTCTGTTTATACATGCACAATGAGCAAAAAAAAAAGAAAAAAAAAAGATACCTGAATAATATTTGATTTAGTGATAGATTTTAACGTACTAGGACTCCATAATTCGAGATGGTGACCTCAAATATGCTAATTAGTTAGTGCTGACGATATTTTAAGTTACAAAATCAGACACAAAAATGTACTTTCTCTGAATAATTTTAGTTTTTTTTTTCTTCCAACAAGTTATAATTCCTGAATCCCAAAATATGGGGAGCAGTCGCAATTTAAGAAGTACGGTCCCAATAGTTTGGACCGGAGATCGGTCGAAAATTAGGATCTTTAACGTTAATTTTACTTTTAGCGTATTTCACCATATCTCGAACTTTTTAAGCGAATTAAAAAGTGTTTTGCACACAATTATAAAATATATTTATTAGAAGATAATTCTAAGCAAAAAATAATTTTAAAGGATTATATATTTTTTAGTATTTAATTTACTAAGTAGCCGACCGGCTTGTGTACTGGCCTTGCATCAGAAAGGTTCTGGGCTCGAATCCTGGGCAAGGCATGGATGTACTTTCTTTCTCTGTACTATCTGTCCTTATTGTGGGAGCAACGTTGGCCCACCTAATATGGTGCCCTGAAAGAGTTGTTAACAAATCTGCCCTTCAGATGCCTGTATGACCTAGGTCATTCTCCAGGTGGGCATTGGAAAAAAAAATTTACTAAGGATCGAAAAAGTTTTAAACTGTAAGGTGTACAAATTTTTACATTGTTTCAAAGAATGCAATTTTATATTGCAAAATACAAACTTTGATCAAAATCAGTTTACCAGAAAAATCCAATTTTAAATATCTGACTTTTATAAAATTCGATTTCTCGGGAACTATTCGACCGATTTCGTTCGAATTTTGTGCTCACCATATAAAAATTACATTATTTAGAATGATGTAAACTTCTGTGTACTTTAAAAATTGTTTCAGCTATTATTAAATAAAATCATAAATAATTATTAAAAATTCTTTTTTTGCATGGAGTTATATTTGGACAAATGAATTTAATAATTGAGAATCAAAAATTTGCTTAAAAAGTTTTTGAGATATGGCGAAATACGAAAAAAGTAAAAATAACGTTAAGGGGTCCAAACTTTTCGCTCTCCTGACCAAACTATTGGGATCATATTTCCCAGATCGCAGCTACCCATTATATTTTGGGAGTCAGGAATCATAGTTCGTCGAAATAAAGTATGTTTATTCAGAGAAAGTATGTTTTTGGATATGTTTTGGTATCTTAAAATATCGTCTGCACTGATTAATTAGCATGTGTGAGGTCACACCCTCGAACCATTAAGTTCTGGTATGTGAAAATCCGATCATTAGATCAGAAGTTATTCAGGGTGTTTTGCTTATTCAGGGTAGGTATCAGTACATTTTTCTTTTCGTCTTTTGATATTTTAGGATGAAATATTTATTTCAAGCTTAAATGAAAACTGCTGGTTATATAATTTGGCGAAAACAGTTTAGAGTTGTCAGATACATTAAACTTTAATTTCTTAAGTATGAAATAATTATTAACAAATACATGAAAAGTTTTTTTTCAAAAAACTATTTTTGCTATATTCTATTTGGAGATGAGCACAGTGGTTATTGGTTAAGGTACTGAATTGTCATTGTAAAAACTGAGGTTCCATCTCTGGAATGACCTAAAGCCTCCCAACTTCAGATCTATAGGTGCTAGCGATCGATGGGTACTGAAAAGTAAAGGGGCCGGTCTGTGTACAGTGCGCGAAAAACAAAATCGACCACCCCGCATAATTTTTGACCTAATAATTGGAAATTCACGTTGGTCAGGAGACCGGTCCAAAGTTTTGACCCCCTTAATGTAAATTTTACTTATTGCGTTTTTCGCCATATCACGAGAACTTGTTAAGCAAATAAAAAAAGAAAAACTGCCCCCAGTTATAAAATTCGTTTGTCTAAAAATTAATTCTAAGCAAAAAAATAAATTTTAGCGAATATTTCTCTTATTTAAGAATATTTTGAATTGTAAGGTGCAGAATTTTTGACATCATTTCAAAGTATCGAATTTTACATGGCAAAATACAAAATTCGAGCAAAACCGGTTAAATAGTTCATGAGAAATCAAATTTTAAAAATAAGACTGTTTTAACATTCGATTTCTCAGAAACCATTGCGCTCAAATTTTGTATTTTGCCATATAAAATTAGATACTTTAAAATGATTTAAAAAATTGTATACCTTACAATTCAAAAATTTTTTGCGTTATTAAATAAAATAATAAATATTTGCAAAAATGTATTTTGTGCAGGGAAGTATCATTGGATAAACGAATTTTTTAATTGGGTGCAAAATTTTTATATATATATATAAATTTTTAAACAATAAATCACAAAGTTGTTGTATATTGAATTAAAATTTATATCTTAAATCACCTAATCATAAAAGTGACAAATTAGTAGTAGTTAGAAAACCCACCATATGAGTTAATCTATTATAACAATAGATTGCAAGTTTTGAGAGCAAGTTTGATAAAAATATATTTTAGTGAAAGCAGCCTTTCACATCCAATAATGTCCTGCCGATACATAGAAAATGAAGTAATATTTGGGGTTAATATTGCAGTTTAAGACAGCGTATAACTTTATTACAACTTCCAAGTAAAACCCTTTCATATTCTCAATTTTGCGGAAAAAGTATCAGATAGATTAGAACTACAAATGTCATGACTGATTTTATTTTTACTTTAACTTAATATCTAAACTTCCTAATAAAAAAATGTACGATAAAAATGTTTTTACACTTTTGCTGATGTATTGAGTTTTACATGAACAGTGCGCAAAAAAGAAAGAAAGAAAAAAAGGACGAACACTATGAATAAATTTTGATTTATGTATGTAACTCGGATTGTACTAAAACTAAATCTTAATCGTTCGAGGCCCTAACTTTAAATATTCTAATTAATAAGCGCAGACGATAATGTAAGTAACGAAATTAGACACTAAGTTGAACTTTTTTTTATTTAAAATACTTTTGGTTCAAAGGAATATGGATTCTGGACCCATAAAATATGAGTGGAGGTAGCCGCGATCGAGAAAATATGGTCTCAATAGTTAAATTCAAAGAGCAGTCAAACGTTTGACCCTCTTAATATCTCATATCAACTGATTAAATAAGAGTTTCAGTTCATATCTAGATGTATATTTATGTAAATTATATCTCGATAGGCTTATGCATATTTTTTAACTATCAGAGCCATCATTAAGGACATCGTATTTTCCTTCTTGAGGTTTCCTTCCATATTTTGATGGTCAAAAATCAAGATGTGTTAAATAAAAGGCATATTTATTTTGATTTAGTAGGTTTTTGTGTAGATTTTATAACTGAGCACTTAGTATTAATTAATTGGCAAGTTTAAAGTTAACACTTCAAATCACTAAGATTGGCATTGAGCGAGTCAAAATTCGATCATTCGAAAGTAAGCTACACAGGTTGATATATTTTTTTTCTTGTTTTTTTTTTTACTCATTGTATATTACACCAATTTTTCATTTCTATTCGGGAAAACTTTTATTTTAAAATAGATAAAAACTTGATTTCCAAAGCAACTTTATGAACATTTCGTTTTATATCCATCCTAGTTTATTAAATTTTATAAGAAATTTATTAAAAAATGTTTTGTAAAATCAAAGTAATTGTAAATGCCAGTAATAATTTTTTTATTGAATGAAAATATTGAAATTTTGAAAAAATACTGCTTATCCATGAAAAAAATTTTTTTTTTATTGAATACATTTATCTTATTAGGTACTTCTGTTTTTCGTACTACTATTTACCAAACAAATTACTATTTGAAACATTTATCCAAATTTAAATGTATTCTATCTCTCGAGTAAGATTTCTGAAAATAAATCAAGGGGGTTTTGAAACTTAGACTCGAATAATAACTAATTTATTGATGAAATAAACTAAGATGTGTAGAAGTAAATTAAAACTTATGACAAGATTCCTCGATAGCATGGTGCGAAATAATTTGATACTCAATTACCATTTAATTCTTAATTTTGCATAATAATTTTTTTTTTAAACATGAGTTTGATAGTCTCATTTTTTTTTCCAGAGCCAAATCAAAAGTTTTGACCTGTTAAATAAAACTGCTTCAAGTGCCCTAGAAAGGTTGAAAGAATTGAATAAATTCTCAAGTTATGCAATAAGCAATGATGATGCAATTTCTAAAAGTGCTATTAACAATATTCGTAATGCACCAAAGTTACTTTCATATTTTCAAGCACAAACTAATGATATATTTGAAAATTTGCTAAATGTTACCAGGACATCTAATTCACTAAAACAAACTCAAAATCTTATGAAGACAGGGGATTTATTTAAAAGTCTTGGCAGGTCTTTAGATAATTTCTTCTTTCATTAGCTCAATTGATTGAGTGGGTAGTAGTACCATTATGGCTAATGAATGTAAGAACTGTGCTTTACATAAGTTTTTAATTCATCAGGATGCTAATTAGTTTAGAAATTTTTTAAGTGGTAGATGAAATCTCAAATGGATGGAATTGTGAGAATTTAAAAAAAATAAAAGTAAATTAAAATGTTTTTGCAACTTTAAACGAATATATTGCGCCATATATTAAAATAATTTATAGCGATGATGTGAACTTAATGTATTGCAAGTACGCAATATAATAAACTTGCACGTGTTTATATATCTCATCAAAATACATAGTTTTATGAATTATGAGCTTGTGGACAGTTAACTTTCCAGGAATTTGAGAATTTATATAGCTTGTTCTTGATATTAGAAACAAATGAACCATAATACTTTAATCATGGATTAAAAATTGAAAATCAACATTAGATTGGAATGCTGGAAAGTTTACCTTTCAAAACTAGTCAAAATTTTACTTAAAATCAGAAAATTATCATTGTACTTGAATTATTAAGAATATACATATTGAGTTTAGTATAAGAAGTTAAAAGATAACAAAAAAATATTCTATACAATTATACATACATTTTGATTTTTTGGAGTACTGTTTAAAAATAATAATTTAAAAGTGAAAATTTTCCGAGAAATGTCAAACAAATTTGCAATTTCTGAGCAAGTATTATAATGTTGTTTCTTTTGATTTTTGTTTATTCATCTTTCAATTGAATTCAAATTATTACCTAATAGTTTGTTACATGTGTTTGTTGTATTTTAAAGTAATTTTTTTACTGTCTTAACTCTATAAGGACATAATAAAAATACATTTTAAGAACATTCCAGTATTGTTATCTTTTCAGAAATCATTCGTTTAACTAATTTATTGCTTGCATTCTTCGAGATAAATAAATTAGCAAGAAAATGTTAGGTTTATAAAAAAAAAGTGAAAACTTTTATTGGTTTTGTAACTGTAGGGTCAGCATTTTAAATAATCAGCTTATATAATTTCGATCGTAAGTAAAAAATATAATAAATTTAAAAAAAATTTAGTCATTAGGTTACTTCAAGGATGTATGTAGTTCCCAGAGATTAAGTTTTTTCAGAATCAGTCTTAAGTACTGTTTGATAAACTAGCCTGGATTACATACAACTTTCCTCGTTCGGCATATTAGAGCTAGTTTTGATTGTTGTGCAAACAAACTCAACTCTGATCGGGAAATAGATTATTAACAGAAGTTTTTTTATGACTTCTAATTTTATCAAACAGTACTCCATTAATGATTCTTTATGGACAATGATTATAGGGAGTAAAGAGAAAGAGGGGAAAAGCGTTGTGCAAAATATTCTTTACAAATAAATAAAACTAAAAGCAAAAACATATTTGCAAAATAAATGGCTTAAAAATACTTAATCTTAACAGATCTTTCAAATTTTGAAAAACTAAACATGGTAAGACATAGTTTTTTTTTTTTACTACATTGCTTAAGGATTGCTATATGCTTAAGGATTTCCTTGAGGTAGGGTATATCTAAAAATTACACAAAATTCCGAAACAGTAAAGACATACATTTATTTATCAAATGTACACCAGGACAAAACTTTCCAGAAAATAAAAATTGGAATTTTTGTGAAACTTGAGCAATATCAATCAACTACAAGTATACATATATTTATAAAAATAAATAAAATAGTATAATATACATAGAAGTTACAAACAGCATATCGAAGCAATGTCTTTGGTACATCATAGAAAGATAAATATTTTTAAAAGGTTGGAGATGGTTAGAAAATTTCTTAACTATTTTGCTATTAATTCATACGCAAAATAACTTGCATCAAATATCATGAAATTTCATTAAAACAATTTTTCTGGTTTATTTTAAAAAATTGCTTTTAAACTATGACACTTTTTTTTAAATTTAAGTATTAATTTGTTAATATGGAATAACTTTCTGAGGGAAAGGATATTCTATAAAATAATTTTATCATAAATATAAGAAATTTTTTTATGATTCATGATTTTTCGAAGTGTGACAATTTTGATATTTTATATTTTCTTCAATAACAATTAATAATTTCAATCTTGCCAATTTCTAGTTATAATTAATATTAAAGAACAAATAAAATGCAGATAATGATCTTAATTAGTTTAAACTATTATGAAAAGTTTTAATTTTTAAAGCAACTGGATTCAAAGCTACTTTGCTAACTATTATTTCAAAGGATATGCAATCCAAATTATTGCAACAAAAAATTGACAGGAATAACAGCTTAACAGTTATAAAACCAAAAGTCTAAATTTTTGATGACACCAGTAGTTTTGAGACTATAATTATAGTAAAAAGAATATTAAAAAAAGGTGACTAATAAATATTTTGTAAATTGAATATCATTTTTTTATGATATTAAAGAGTAAAATTATATATACACATATACATATTTTGAAAGAGATATTGTGAAACCTAACTTTAGTACAGAGTGTATCAAACTCTTTTTCTCAATATGATTTTAAAGCAAACACCTAGAATGTTTCTTTTTTCTTAAAAAAAAACTTACTGTCAGGGTTAGCAAAAGATTTGATACTTTTTAATATTTTCATAAATGCTTTTGCAGAATACTGATTTATCTTATGGCAAGTAAATATTTTTGCTTAATAGAATTTTAATAATTGAGGTAAGAGTTTAAGAATTTATAGAAAAAGCATATTAAATAATTAAATTAAATAAGTAATTAAAGAAATTAAATTTACATACTTTAAAAATTCTTTAATATATTTTTCACAGAGGAATGAATCTAAGTATTTGCTTTCTTTTGGTAAAATATGAGTACCTCAACCTATTAATGTTTTCCTTTATTTTTGCCTCAGATTTTAAATTAGAATGAGTACAGAGTAACGATTGTTCTTGGCACAGTAGAGCTACTTAAATCTCCTGTACCAACAAATTCTACATTCAACAAACTATTTGTTAAACATATTTTTTTTTAATTACATAGTTCTATTTTAACAAAACAAAATCATTTATTAACACTAGAGATTTTTATATTATCAGTAAAATGTGATATTATATTTAAATGGAATTAAAAATAATTAAATTAGGAAATATTGACATTAACAAAATAATGATTTTTCAGAAAACTAAACAATTGTAATTATGTTGACTTGAAGTAAATTTTTTGAAAAAAAAAAAAAAAAAACTTTGTACCAATGAACTGATAATAAAAGGACATAAAAGTATATTTTTAAATATTTAAATTATGCCAATCAACCATCAGCTATTCAATTAAAACCAATAAAGAATTGAGACACACTCAAAATAATTTATTTTCACTTTGATTATACTCATCTTATGACATTATTTTAAATTAAAGTGATAATTCTATTGTAAGATTCCTCTTTTCCTTATAAAAATAATTTCATGATTATTTAGACCATTAGTAACTTTAAAATCTCTCCAAAAATTCTAATAATATAAAATGAAATTATCTTGAATGAGTATTTAAGAGTTAGAAAATTATTTGAAGTCTTTTAAATGATCTTCTACTTAACCCACCTCAAATTTTTTAACCTTTTTTCAAATTTTGTCCCTGAAAAAAAATTGCAATATTAAGTAAAAATATCTTGGGGGAAAATTCTCACACAGAAAAAATTTTGAAGAATAAAATGTAATGCAGAGCAAAATAGTGTGGATCAGATTTTCTAAAGGAAAAAATAACATTTATACTATAGCATTTCATAAGAAATGGAGAGCAGATAACTAGCAAAGAAGATAATTTTAAAATAATTAAAAGTTAAGAACATATTGTTTAAGATGAAAAATTTTGTACAATTTTGTTAAGTCACTATTCCTGTAGCGTAAAATACATATTGCAGTTTTTTTTTCATACATATTTGAAGTTTACATAATGAGGTTGTAAATAAAAAAAATTCTATTCTAATTATCATAACTAAAAATCTCTTTGGTAAAAATTGCAATTTGCTGACTTTAATTATTAAATTTAACCCTTTATCTGAAGTTACTTGAGCAAATAAAAATTTTCTTGCTAAGCACACTAATTTTATGGAAAAACATAGGAAAAAAATCAGTTTTGGTGCAGGAAAGCAAACTAGTTTTATCTCAAACTTAGTTTGGGGTTGGTTAAAAAGTTGAATCGTCGACCTCAGAAGAATAATATATAAGTATATTAAAATGGAAAATAACACTAAGGTTAAAAATATTCAAAGAATATCAAAATCAATAATACTAATCAATTATGCACTTTGATATTTACTTTTCACTTTGGCAAATTGTGAAACATAAATATCCTGGAATGTCAGTATCCCAATCACTCATAGAAGTGGAATGTTAAATACTTGATTAAATTCTGCAGAACTAAATTAAATAAGGAAGAACTTTGTCTCTAAAATCAGTTCTAAGATAATCTAATTTTTTGAAATTCTACTTAACACATTTTTTAAAAATTTTAGCATCTTATAGAAAGTATATTAAGCATGTACAATTCAAAATCACATAAGGAAAACACAATGAATCATAAATGCAAGTCACATATGCATAATATTTGATTGTTTTATAAATAAACTGACAACAATGGCAAAATTACCTTAATAAAATTTTAAGCTCCTCACAATATCTAAAGTGGTTGAAAAATAACGGAGCATGTAGAATTTGTCTGATTTCGCCATCACTTAATAACTTCAGAATTATTGTGTTTTATATATAGGTTGGAATTATTTAATTGGTCAAAATAATTGTAAATATAATTTATTAAATAAAAAATCAGATGCTAACGCATGAAGTTTGATACCAATTTAAACATTTTTGAAAAACCTCCAATTAAAAGGGAAAAGATGGTATTCATGAAATGAAGAAAAATTAAGTCTATTTAATATCAAAACATAGAGAAATTTTTTTAAGGTTTTTAAAATAGGGTACTCAATGTTTACTTAATAATTTTTGAAACATCGTAATCATGTTTTTTTTTTTTAGTCCTAGTAAACTGTCTAAATTGTTATAGAAATAAAGCCTCAAAATATCCACACAAGTCGAGACTCTGATAAGTCCTAAGAATAGATTTTTTTCGGAAAATAGGTCTTTAATTTAAAGAAATATTGCTCAAAAAAATCTATTTCTTATGCATAAGACTTTGTAATTGATCGCAACCATGAATATTTTACTTGTAAAAGGAAGAGATTTGTTTATTTTGAATGTTAAAGAGTCTGAAAACAGACTTACAGATATGAGACTTTATATTGTATTTGCAATTATTTTGAGCACTTCAATTAAAAAGTTTGATAATTAACAAAGTATTACTAATAATATTACAAAGTATAGTACCCTCAAAGTGTTACTACACAACTTTGGACTACTCTTAATACTTAGAAACTGTCACCAAGCAAGAATTGTTTCGCATTTTTTTTTTTACTGAGCTAACCATACTTTTAAAATATAAATGCAAAGGTTTAAAACAAATAGAAAATGCATGCATTCAAATCTTGACAAAAACGAAGCTTGTTTATATAAATTCACATGCAAGTAAAATTGTGTAATAAATTCGGCACATCTATAAATTCAGTTGTGCAAGTTGCAAATAATAGCAAAATGCATTACTTTACACCAGTAAGCATTACAAAAGTAGCATTTTCAACACATGCTGGCAGACTTTTGCAATTGAAAATTATCAGACAAAAGTCTTAATTCATTCACATGTTTCTCAAAAATTTTTTTTTTCCATTTAAAAATGTTACAATAGACTTGACTTAAAATACAAGGGTTGGTTAATTAGAATCTGTACTTTTGTTCTAATTGTCTGCAGGTTTGCAGTAGAACTCTATATCCTCAATCACCAAGAAAGTAGTAGTGTTTGCTTCCCTCGGTAAGTTTTAGCATTGTAATCAGATTACTTGTAAAGTAAACAAGATTATGCCACTCTGTTTGCAACAAAAAAGTACATTCAACAGTTTTCTGTGGTCTAAAGATGTAGCAGAATTTTAAATGCAATGAAAGATTTATAAACAATATAGGTATAATGTTTAACAATAACAAAGTGTTAAAAAGATTGGATATATCTTTTTCGTTAAGTATTAAACATCTCTATTATCTTAAATAATTAACAGGAATTAAGTGGAACTCTTAAAAATAAGTGCTGAAATTTAAGTTTAAAAATATGTAAGGGTCTGTTGTTTATATAGAAATTACTGTATTTTTCGGCAAAAGCACCGTGGCGCTATCAAATTGTGAATTGTCACTAGGAATCTCTATTTAGCTCAAAATGTTCTTTATAAAAATGTTACTACATGTGCTACGAAATGTGATAACAGCTAAAGACTAAAGCCCATAAAAAATAAAGGGCAAAAACTGCATATTTATTACAATTGGTACTGCGCAAAACTGCACAGTAACAATTGGTAGTTCTGAACATGGTCAATTAGCGACTATGAATTAAAAAGCCAAATTAAATCCTCTGCGGTAAGCATACTGGCGATAAGTAGACACGCTTAATAGAATCCTTGAAAAATATTACATAAATAGTTGTAATAACAAGACTTAATCCTATAAAATTGTTAATGCATTTAATATTTTAGATTCTTGCACTATTTGTGCCACTTGAATTATCTATCTTTTATAAGTTAAATATTGTGTTAATATACCTTGTCATTATTTTCCTCACAAAACTTTGAAAAATATATGCCACTTTGAATATAATAATCAGTTTAGCAACAAAAAATTTTGAATACATCTTTATTGGAAACTGTAAATGTAGATAAAGTTAAATTATTTTTAAACAAAAGAGCTACAGATTTTTTTATTAGTTTTCCAGCGACAAAAACAATGCAGCTAAGCACAGAGTATTGAAAATTATTCTGAGCTTTAAATTCCATTAGATAATTCCCTAAATTTTTAAAATTATAACATAAAACAGTTAATTTCAAATTTTCACAGAAACGGTTCATAAAATTGATTTCCTTTAATTAAATAGTTTGATAGTACTTATCTATCTAATCTAAAAAACATTAAACACCAAACAAAGTGAAAGATTAAAATATTTCTCTCAATATTTATTCATAGTGCCAATATACCTTTGTGTAGGAAGTAAATGATTGATAAAAAAATTTATAACCTCAGATTGTAATACTGAAATTGATTACTATTTCTTACAATTTATTCACTTCATTGCATCATGAATTTAAGCAGAAACAAATCCATTTTAGTTCTTAAAGTTAAATTTTAATAAATTAAATTTTTAAACTGAATTCTAGAAAATAACAACTTAAAAATTCAATAAAATAGTTTAACAATCTCGATATTTTTTATTTCTCCAGTAATAATATTTCTAGTTTCACTATATGTTTCATCTAAAAATATGGTCTGATTTCCAAACTTTAAAATGTCTCTTAATTTTATTACTTCATTAAATTACCAAAGTTAAGAAAGTTGAATTGAAATACTAACTCTACTTTTATATTTAAACGTTTCATAGTGTTTTTCAACAAAATATCATTTGAAATACTATAATAAAGTTTCAGATATTTTTCAACAATGAAGTTACATCCAGTAAACAAGTTTTTTTTGGTGGTATCATATGCGCAGACTATCAGAAAGAACATCAATAGGGAATAATACAAATTAGTATTGAATGGAAATAGGATGAACCTACCTTACATTGTGAAGAAGAAATTTTGGTTTCATAGAATTACGCACCTTACTGCAAATTAATTACTACAATTGCAAAACTTCACGAGTCGGGTTTTAAATACTATCTCACCTATTCTATTCTCCAGATCTGGCCCTTACAATTTCAATTGTTTTACAGATATGCCTCCAGGGACAGAAATTTAGCAGAATAATCATAGCAATTGAAGATTTTGATTGTTTTATAAATGCATTAAAATATTGAGAGGCTTTTTAATTAAATATATAAGTTTCTAAAAAGACATTTCATTTTGCAAAATGTGAATAGATTTTTTAAAATTTTTTTTACTGGCCAATCTGGGAGCTTTTTTTAACCCATAAGTTATAACATAACAAATAGCAAACGATGAACAACAATATTATAAAGAAAACATTCAATTAATTTAGGGCCATATATTCTACTAATGAAACATTACCCAAGTATTGTAACATAAGTCTTGTACAGATTTCAGCTTCGTGCACATTCAGACCACATAAGTAAAATTACATAATATAGTTTTCCAGGTGTTGCCTTGTTAGGTAATAGCTAACTGAGGGGATAATACTAAATACCACTAGAAGCAAAGAAATTCATGACAGTTATCACATATATTATTGGAAGAAAATAAGATACTAATCAACTTATGATAATAGATTAAAAATACATATTACATATAAGCTCACACACGAATACATGATTGTTCGTATATTTAAATTTAGAAAACTTGCTTACACTTAATTGCAAATAAAAAAAAAGAAAACTCTAATACCATGCTACTTAAATCTTTGCTGTAATGATTAATGCAATGCTCAGACACAAAACATTTATTCAACACATGCAAAATTCAATATGAAAATTTTGTGTAGTTAATTTAGTTGCATACCATATATTCAAATATGCCATAAACATAAAGAAAAATATTTTTTAGTATTACTGAAACTAATTATTTTATAAAATAAAATGGTTGATTTTTATTTACTTTGATTCATATAAATTAGTTTGATTTCTCATTTTGCGTCACTAATTTAAGAACTAAACAAAGACTGTAAAATGGGGAATCCATACATTTATAAATTTTAATCCTATTGACTTAACAATTACAACATTAGGATTAAGATTTATACAAAATTTATTAATATGTAATTAAATTTTAAAGTTCTAAATTCAATCCATGCAGAATCAATATTGAAAGCCCACAAAAGCAAACTGACAATTAAAAGTATGGCAGTTTGCTTATTTCTATAAATATAAGTTCGTACACATTGCTCACATAAGGCTCTGAAATATTTTTGATTACTTGTGAGCAATATAAATATGAAAAGGACTTAAACACAGAATATATAGTTTCCTAGCTCATATCAATGATGATTTTGTTAACTGGAAATTTTTCATCATTTGTTATGAACAACTTTGTATAGTTATACAATTGCACATTACAATAAATAAATACTTTTGCATTTTGTAACGATATCTTAAATGTAAAAAATTTATAAAATTTCAAAGTTATCACAAGAAATTTAAAAAATCCTTTGGACTTTATGCTATTCGCTCACATGTAGATTTTTCACAACAACAACACACATTCCAGCACGTCCATCTTCAAGCTCTTTAATCTAGAAAAAAAGATATTTCTCTTAATTTTCTATATAATAAAAGATTAAATAAAAATTCTCTACAAAAAGTGAAACAAATAACACAGCCGGTAGATACCCCAGAATTTCAGGAAATTCCATTGTACTCCGAGAACTCTGCAAAGATATCAATTTTACTGAAAAATAAAAACCCCAACAGCTAATTTTCACCCATTTCTACCGATGACGTCACCACATCTGAGATTTCTGTTCGCTTTCTTCTCCCAATGGTAAACCATGTTTTCACACTCAGTGTTCTAGCCGTTGCATGACTTCACTTAACCTGTACATCTAGAACTGGTTGAGTGATGTCACCTCCATAGCTGCGGCCAGTGTAAGAAATGTTTTTTTCTTCCTCCAAGAATAGTTTATCTTAAGCATACAGAGTGCACTCTTTTGTTTGCCTGATGCTAGTTGCCGATCAGAGTTTGGATCACGTCTTCTAAAAAACAGTTACAGATGTTTTGGAAAGAATATTCAGTAGAATGGCTGGTATTTACTTGTTTCACTAAGTCATCACATCAAGTATATTATAATATTTACTTATGCAATTTTTCGTTTGTACATGGAAGTCGAAATGACTATTTAAGGCATGTGGAAGAATTACTCCATCAAACGAATGGAGCTGCCTCCATCTCCAGTAAAAGCGTTAAAGACATGTTTTTGGGTACTACAAAAGAAAGCTAAAATGCAATTTGAGTAAAGACTCTTTTTGTGAATTTTTTAATTCAACATGATTTGCTGTTATCTGTTATGGACCAAGGAGGTCCATTGTTAGCTCATGTCCCCATATTTGGCTATTACCGTTAAATTTAAATATGTTAGAAGAAAAAGCACAGAAAGATGCAAAAGATTAGCTAAAACTTACTTTAGCAACAGACGGCCGCAATTCATCTAGTGACAAACTTTTTCCTCTTGTAGTAACATTCTTTGATGATACTAGTGGGGAAATTAAGACCTTTTTCTCCCTCCCAAAGTTGGACAAGGATGATACAGGTGAAAATATTTCTTTACGCATTGAAAGTGTATTATGGAAAAATTAGTGTTCCATGTAAACATTATATTGCCTGTTGCATTGAAAATGTTTCAGTGAGGCTTAGACAGCAGGAGTGGGATCATTTATCAAGAAAATGAATCTTAATGCTATCATTCATAGCTAGCTGTACTTGCCACTTAATCCATCTAGCTCAGTGGTTTCCAACTGGCGGCCCGCAAACTAAAATATATTAGTTGTAATTTTTTTGCAGACAATTTTCGTGAAAAATCTATATGGGATTAAAATACTTTTCTCGTTAATAAAAACCAAATTTCTTCGTTTCCGTGAAATTTATCGAACTAATGGTGCAAAAAAAATTATTTCTCAGGTTTTGTATCCAAGAAAATAATTACTCAAATACAGAAATAGTCGTATATGTTGCTTTTATCTATTTTATTTTTTTGTATTGTATCAGAAATTCTCCGATTTAACTTTTTGAAACCACTCATTTTGGACGAAAATATTTACACACACATTTGTAAATATCTATTCTCATGTGGTTGCAGCAGACAAACCTCAATTTTGTGTGCTACTATGTAAGTTTTAATACCAACCTTTTTAAAGTTTTATAACTTAACAATTAGATATCTGTTGCACATTAATTGTTTAATACATGGGTGCACATTAAAGTTATTGTAACCCGAATTTTTTAATATGCAATTAAATGTTTTTAAAAATCTGCTTCTTATTTTAATTTGTAATTCAATACTTTTGTTTTGTACAACTTGGTAAAAATCAGACAGTAATATTTAGTGTTCCTTCAAACATAAAAGAGTCCTATATAAAATTTTGAAAAAGTTGCGGCCCGCCATTTGTTTTTAATTGTGGCCCCCAGCCTCGTGTAAGTTGCAAGCCCCTGATCTAGCTGCTAAACATGCTACAAAAAAATTATTTTTGATTTTGAAAGTTTTTTGATCGATGAATACTACTTATTGGCAATTTTATTTATCAATTAGAAAATTCTATATTAAAGCACATTCTTTTTTTAAAAAAAAAATTCCCCTGTCCACTGAGGTTTATAAACAATGTGAAGTTGCTGATATAACAATTCATGAAGAAGCGAAATTTACTTTGTTGGAATAATTTTTCTCCGTGTTCTATTATAGAGGAACAAAACTTTGTGTGTGTGCTAGCAATTTTCTTTATTAGGTTGTCATCCATGAGTATTAATGGATCTTTCATAAAATTTTAAAAAATATATCCGAGAACTTTCTAAAATATCTTGAAACTATTAGAAAAGAGGCTGTTTAACTGTTAATGCAATACAAAGTTCTCTTTAATTTTTTAAAGCACCTGAAAACAACAAATTTCCTTCCACTCTCCAGAGAGATGAAACTAAATTCCCAGAGTAAAATTGAAAAAAAAATTTATCAGAAAGATTTAAATTAGAGCATTTAAAAAAAAAAAAATTATACACTTACACAAAAAGGAACTTTCATTAATTTGGCAGAAAAAATTTTGTTCGATAAATATTCATTACTTTTTCGTGCTTTAAAGGACTATGTCTATTAATTTTAAAACTACAAAAAATAAATAAAAATCATTAACTATCACAGGATAAATGTGAATTGACTTATGATTATTTTAATACAAAAAATCCTTGTTTCATAGAAAGTAAAAATTATTAAAATAGCAATAATAACAAGGAATCGTTGATAATACCACTAGATAAGTTTTTTAAGTTAGCCAACAATTGTAATGTGTAAGAATAGAGAGAAACATCACAAGCAGTGAATTTTTATGTGATCATAGCTAGGTGATTCTCCAAAATCTTAACGATTTCAAATCCCGAATACTTAAAACTGAATGTGCTTATAACTGAATTCGAAAAAACTATACTCATTCTTTATAAGGCACTTAACATGAGAAAAATAAAGGAATCTCCTTTTATCAATGTTGGCTTAGAAAATTCCAGGACAATAGAAATACATTTTGTTTTAAATATTATTTCTGCTACAAAGTTCTAAAGACAGATTTAGGTTTAAGAAAGTTCTTCAACTAGAATCATTACACTATTACACATAACATGTATTAGTTTTTAAAGAATGTTTTCTCGTATAATAGACATGCTGTGCATGAGAGTGATAGCAGAAAATGTTGTATGCCTTAATTCAGAGTTTCAAATCTATTATAAGAATGACAGGTGAATCTGATCTTTAAAGCACTTTATCAACCCAATAGAATGGTGAGAATATACAGGGTTCCTATGAGCAAGACTAAAAATTTTCTCTCTTTCCTTTAAATTAAAGAAAAATTTCTTGTGTCACGAAAGTGACATGAAAATCTTAGGACAAATTTTAAATGATACAATATGGTGAGTTAAAAGATTAAACAGTTTTAAAAAACTATATTATTTTACACCTTAAAGTATACAGCTAATTAATATACTTTAAATGTTTGAATGTCGGTGTAAACATTTTTAATAAATTAAATAATAAGAATTTAGGACAGGCTAGAAGAGTGACATATAGATAATTTCAATATATTTTTTAAGAAATTTTAAATGAATAATCTTTTTTAAATGCATGGAAATACATAGGAAAAAATTATGTCTTAAAAGTAACTTTTTATCTCAAGCCAATTTTGTGATATTTTGTTAGAGCATTATAGTGTTGAGTTTTTGGAGAATCACCCACATACAAAACTGCCCATTGCTTGTATTTCAAGAACTTAACAAAGGGAATTGCAAATTCTTCTCAGAACTCCTGGTTTTTCCAGGATTCTAAAGAGAGTGGTAACCATCTACAACAAAATGTATTGAAATTCCTTCATAGATTCCCTGAGACTCATAAGAGTCTGAATCATCAACATACTTATTTTTGTGTCACATACATTTATATTATCCATATAAGTCTTCATTAAGAAAAGTTTTAACAACAGTAAAACAAATAAATTTATAAAGACTGATACTTTTTCAGGAAAATTTCAGTTGCAATAAGGTCTTGTAAAATATATATCTATATACATTTTCTTTCTAATTGTACTTTTATTAGTACTCTAGTTTTAATGTTCTCCAGTTTCTTAGAGCTAGAGTTTACTTGAGTCAATTAATTTCAAACTTCTAAATGTTCATCTGTGGTGTAAGCGGCAAGAAATTTACATACACATCACCCAACCATGGCTAAGCCCCTAGCCCCATTTTTAGGGCTCTATCGTTTAATGGCTATAGTAGGAATGCCAAGCAATTTTGACCAATTGCAGACAACTCGAATATCACCTGACTCTTCTTTTCAAACATCTTCATACCAACGAGAGGACTCATTTGCATAGATGGTATCAAGGACAGAGATGACATCTGAACAAGTAAATATTGACACTGTTGGAAAGCTTTAATATGCACCCAGGTCTTTTATTTATGGAATATTTTTTACTATTTTATAAAATGTAATCCATGTATTGATACAAAATATACAAAGATGTTTTTTAACCCTTAAGTTTTTATTTTTACTCAGGGTATGTCATTTTTCAGAAATCTGTATTTCTTCTTTTAATTGTTTCTGACATTAACTAATCATTTAATATGAAATAGAGAGCAAAGGAGAAGTCTCATTGCTTTCTGCTTTAAATACTAATTATAATTCAGGTATGACAAATTGCAAAAAAAAAAAATAAATAAGAATAATGTAAAAATCTATCCTTAAACAATTGCACTTTAGTACATTGCTTAAACTGAGCTTAAATTTTTGGAAAAAGTTATCGTGAAACCTGGTCATACATAAGATAATTTGTTTCAAAGAAAAATGAATCTCGTACAGTGCTCTAATCTGATTGGTGCCCCTAAGAAAAATTATGCTGGTAAAGAGAAATTCTTGCACTTAAAATTTTGATTTAATTATAAAAAATAGTAGAATTCAGGTCTGAAGAAATATTACAATACTAAATTAAATTACAAAATCAAACATAAAAAGTATTTCCTGTGAATAAATATACCTTATTTTTCAGATTTTAATTCTTGAGTCTTAAATGTTATGCTTTGGAAAATAAAAATGATACTAACATTTTAGTCAGGAAACTAAGCTTAAATTTTGGCCTTCTTATAATTTATTTCATTTTTTATATATAAATTTGCTCACCTCAGTATAACCAAGAGAAAATTATATTAATTATTTAAGTAAGATCGAATAATTTTTACATGATACATAGCATTGGAACAACCATTTTTTCATATCAACTAATAGTTAACAAACAAAATTCTTTTAACTTCTAAACTATTAAAAAGTAAAATTTATGATTTAGACTTATTTATGCAAAAAAATTGTCTTAACTTCAAAATTATTAGTTTAAACAATTTGGTCTCATCATATAAAATACATAGGAAATGTCAATACAATGTCAGATGTGTAAATAAGAACTAGTCGAAAAATTAAACTTACAAAATCCTTGTAACTTCTGAATTATTAGTCTTATCAACTTGAGTTTGGTAGGTAGGTAGGTACTTTATTTATGTTGCACTAGAGCTGCACAATGGGCTATTGGTGACAGTTTGGAAAACAACTCTGAGGATGATCCGACCTGCACCTGAACTAGAACACTTTACAGTGATACTATTGATATTGTGCACCCTCAGTCCTTACGCAGGCTGATCAAAGTGGTCACCCACTCAATTACTAATAGCAACCAGTGATGCTTGTGGAAAGCATGTATTTAATTTAAGATCAATTTACTGCTAGGCAACTTGAGTTTGGCCACATTGGATACAAAGTAAAAATTGCATAAGAAAGAATTCCTCACTAGTCTAGATAGCAAACTTTTCTCTATAAAAGTTTAAGATCATAGCTCAATCTCACCTTTGGAAAGGGAGAAATTACAGATATCTTAAACTGCAACTCATAAAATACCCAGCTTTTTCCTAATTATTTCTGCATACAACTTGTTAGAAATAAGACAGAAAAATTATTAGCAATGTTTCTCAACAAAAAGGTATGCAGTATAATTATAGAAATTTAAAGTAAGAGAAATTATGAATCATAGGAATATATAAAAATATAATAAGCTTAATATTTCAAATACATTACTTCTTCCCATTCATTCGTTTGTGGATCATAAGCTTCAACTATTTTCAAATATGATTGTCCATCATAGCCTCCAACTGCTATTAAACGATCACCAAGAACACCAACACCAATGGCATCACGTCCTATTTTCATTGGAGCCACTAATGTCCACGTGTCAGTTCTGGGATCATACCTAAATTTTATTGAAAAATCTAAGTGTTATTGTACTTAATCAAAAGAATTTTTTTAAATTCCAAGAAAAACAACTTTTCATCATTATGTACAAGCACATAAACTATGGTTACAAAAAAAATTACAAGCCACCCTGTAATTAGAATTTTTACATATTTATGCTCCAATTTTCATAAAAGAAGATTATGTATTTTTGAAATGAGCAAAAATTTTAATTGGCTGAAACATTGAAAAAAATAGTATTAATCAAAAATATGAAACATATATTTCTGAAATGAAATAAATGATAAAATTTTTTCATAAGAGAATAGAGGAAGGAATTATTATATAAAAAACAATAAAAACTTAACTATTTATATTTCAATTTTTAAACAACCTTTCTAAAATAATTAATATTGCTGGATAAAATATACAAATGAACAACAATTTCAATAAATAAATTTTTTAAACATAACTTTTGTCCTTTAAATTACCTTTCAACACATTCAAATCTTGAAACACCTGGATTTAAAATAGGAGCATCATGACCACCTAAAGCAAACAGATAGTTGTTTATAACACCCACTCCAGCACCACCTCGTCTGATAGACATAGGTGCACAAAAAGTCCATTTATTTCGATGTGGATCAAAGCATTCAACAGATCGTAGACAAGAACTACCATCTCTGCCACCTACAGCATACAACCTATGCATACATTAATAACATTTAATATTATTTTTGGATATACCAATGTTTTCAACAGAATTACTGAAATATCTCACATAAACGCAACACATAATACCAATAAATATTAAATTGGCAGAAACCTTAAAACGTTTTAAGGCAAATAATGTTAAATTCTGGATTATAAAAAAATTATTTCTTTTCTGAAAATTGAAAGAAAAACATAAGACTTTTTTTAGATTTTCAATACTGTTAAGAATAAAATAAAAAGTAATTTTACCTCTCTCAAAAATAATGTATCATGTATTAACCGATTTAAAATTTTTTTTTTTTTGAAAGATCTGATTAGATATTTAAGTCTACTATATAGTAACAATATTTTCAATTATATCATTAAGATATTAAACTTTATTAAGTTATTAAACATACTTTTTAATTATGTAATTATTTTTTGCTATGTAATAGATAACTAATGAAACATTTTTAAAAATTTATAGTCATAGCATATTATTTTTCTTCCAAAATGTTGTTATTGTTTTAAAAGTATATATTTGATTATTGTGGTGTGTCCCAAGTCCTAAAAATTAGTTTAAAATATGATATTGAAAAATTAATAAGAATGGAAAAATTTTATAATATAAATTTAATCATTTTTTCATCTAAGACAATTTTACATAAAAATAGATTTTATAATAAAAAAAGAATTGATACATTTATATTGTCAGAAAATAAGTTCTTTACATTGTTTAAATTTTTACATAATTCATGAATATACAAATTGTAAGCCAGTTATGTAAAAATCTAACATCTATTGCCATAATATTTAGGTAGAACAGTTATTGATTCAATTCACTTCAACTAATTATTATTTCTAACAGCTGTTAAATTATTGTTCTGCCTCTGAAACTTTAGTTTTAAGGACTCAAAATATACCAGATGTAAAAAAGAAGAAAGAAAAAAGATGTGCTTCAATTTTTGAAAGAAAATTTAATCCCTTTTCAAGTAGCTTAAGAGGTGATCAAAAATAATGTTCATTAGAAACACTCTTTAAAAAATGCTGTATCATAATAAAAAGGCAAAAGAGAGACAAAAAAAAAAAAATTCTCATTTCTTAAAATATAATTTTAAGGTTGAAAATCACAGCATTTTTTGTTACCAGCTATCTGTCTCCCCATACTAGAAAAAATGGAGTAAATTTTGAAGCATGAAAAATATTGCTAAGTTGATATTTCAACTGTTAGGCAATAAATTTCCGTCTAAAAAAAGTGGGTATAAACTAAACTCAGTGGTGCGACAGCCCATAGAGGGCCAAAGCCTACTGTGCCCATCTGTTTTCTTGACCTTGGGCTCTGGGATGCAGGAGCAGATGTTTCGGTCGGGTGGTCAGGCGAACCCCCAGTGTTTAGTTCCCAAGCTTGCTTGGTACTCATTTATCAACCCACTGAAGGGATGAAAGGCTGAGTCAACCTTGCCTGGCCCGAGGATCGAACCCAGGACTCAGCCTTTCATCCCTGTAGTGGGTCAATAAATGAGTACCAAGCAAGTTTGGGAACTAAACACTGGGGGTTTCGCGATCGGCTGACCACCTAACCGAAACATCTGCTCTTGCACCCTAGAGCCCAAGGTCAAGAATACTGAGATGGGCACAGTAGGCATTGGCTCTCTTTTAGCTTTTTTTTATTGTTATATAATAAATTGTATATACCAATGAAATGATTAGTGTATGTTTGCTATTTGAAAGAATTTGAGCATATGCATTCAGAAAAAAATTTTGGTGTGCATACTTCTTATTTATGTTCTTTTAAATGTTCTTTTATCCTTGTTAAAAAATTATGTTCTTTTTTTAATTTAGAGGAGATAGAGCTCAGTGGATAGAACATTTATCTCCGAATGAGGTGGCCAAGGTTCAAATCCCAATGGTGGTGGGTTGATGGGAATTCTGCTCTTGACTCGAGCTAACAACAGAACTGACATAAAATATCCTCTGTAGTAAATGGGTCAGAATCCCATTGAAGTGGGACTAACCATGGGAAGTTTTAGTTGTTTTTCTCTCCATGTACCGCAAATGCAGGCTAATTTCACCAAAAAGTCCTCCATGAAGACTAGTCTGGCTCAATACTTGATCCAGCAGTTTCTTTGTCTTCTGGATTGAGTTCAAAATTACAAGGCTACAGAGTTGAACATAGATGGTCATAAACTCAGAATTGGGTCGGCTGTTCAAAGACGGTTGTAAAATAAAATCTCGTACACCTAGTAAAAGTCTAGTGACTAAATTTCCTTCTAGCAGGCTAGTACAAATTTGCTAAAAAGAATTTTTTTTTTACAGAACAGTGTTTGTCTTGAAGAGCAGAATATCTTAAAAATATAGTCTAAATCTGTAAAATTTTTCTATGAAGAAACAGAAGGAAGTCATTGAAAGGGAAGACAATGATATGATGAAGGCAGTCTTAGTCAAGTACAGAGGTTGTATGGAAAGTAGATGAGTTAGAAACAAATTAAGTCAAAATAAAAGACATTTAATTTTTGAAACTTTTCTTCTTTTAAATATATATTACTTTTAAAATTATATGATCTACTTTTCAGAAAGTTTCAATAATTCAAAGATAAGAGTGTCTTTGCTGAAAAAATTAAATTATACGTGTTCGCGCATGTGCGACTGCCGCGCCACCCTTTTTTTGTGAAAGATTTATATATACCTTGAGAACTTCATAAATGGCGGACGTAGTCCGTGTGTCTTGAAAAATAAAGAGATATACAGTCCATTGAAGACCAGTGTTCTTCTTATTTACGAAATAAACCTTGAGCTATCGATTAGAGTGACCACAAACAATACGAAAGCTCCAAAAAGGAATATAAAATAATTCTCTCTTAAATATAATTCAAGAAAAGAAAATTACTTAACAAAAAAAAAGGGATACATATAAATATGGCTGTCCATTTTTAATGAAACCATAATTATTAGCATTAATTATGGAAATTGATATTATAAATTTTCAGCAGTAAATTGATGATTTATCAATAGAGATAAATATGTTTCTGTGACTGTCAATAAGTATATGTTATTTGGGAAAGAAGTAATTACCTATCGTTTAAGACAGCAACACCAGCAGTACTTCGCTGTGTGTTCAAAGGAGCAACATAGCTCCATTGTCGAGTACTAGCGTCCCATCTTTCCACGGCACTCAAATAGGTCCAGCCATCATGTCCTCCAACAGCATACATAGGACCTCCCAAAACACCAACACCTAAAAAGAGTAACATAATAATAACAAGGATAAATAAATCATAGGTGTTAAAATTTTGCTTAGAGTTTTATGTAAAGAACCTTTTTTATCCTTTGAAATAGATGTTAAGTTTTTTTAGTCCTAAAATAAATTTTTGGATTTAATTATCAATATAATGTAAATGAAAAAGGAATTGCATAATATCATTAAGGATTGAGGAGTTATTCAGATAATTTTAAAGTAAGATATTACGATAGATTAGATTATCAAACAAATTGTTTTTTTCTAAACTGAAATTTTTTATTTCTTACTTTTTGTCTAATTTAGGGAAAGTTTATTGTAGTATTTCTAAAACCTTAATTGAAATCAATAGGGGAGGAAGAAGCACCATAAGCATCAACCGGCCTCCTATCAGAATCACAATAAACTGAATCTAGCACAGCTAAGCATGCTTTGGAAGTAGAAATTAATCTACTACTAAAACTCTAAATAATTCTAATTATTTCTACTCCCCAGCCAACAAAATAGATTCCAATCTTTATTGATGCAATAGCATTCAACGGAATTTGTTATCACAGCTTACAGTACTATTTTTATAAATCTAATTGAAATAATGAAAGTGGATATGAAGAATATTAAACTTTGTCTTGTTTGTTTAATGCATTGAATTTTGTTTGCAAAGCACACAAAAATATTATTAAGTAGCAATTGGCAAGAAGAAGAGAGCAAAGCTCCCTGGTATATAGATTTAATTTAAGAGTTGACTAATTTTCAGAAGAAAACTCATTAGTTTTTTTGAGTAATGGTGCTTGTATAAAACACCTGAATCATATTATCAATGCTTACAAAGCTTGTAAATTTAGTTTTCAAAATATATTGTATAAAAACACAGAATTTTCTTCTAATATGTTAACAAAGAATAAGCACTTATAATATTGAAGTCATCTAAGTACTTGAGTCAAATAAAAAAAGCATAAATATTTCTAGACAGGTTAAATATTTTTAGACTATAGTTTAAAATAAGACATATATTTTCTATAACAAATACTTTAATAACAAGGAAAATAGCATTATTCATGATTTCGTAAAAAAATCACTAATAATACAGGTAACAGAAAAAAAAATCCTTTTAGCAAAAAATCTTTCGTTATTAAAGTAATTTTAGTTACCAAGTCCATGTCGATGAGTTGACATAGATGGCATAGATATCCATCTTTTCAAAGCAAAATCATAACACTCAACAACATTTAATGTTTTTAAACCATCACGTCCACCAACAATATAAAGTTTATTGTCTATCATTGCTGCACCAAACTGCAGTCTTCTTGCTGTCATAGTGCCATAGTCGCACCAAGTATTACTTCTTAAATCATACTTTTCAATTCGGCAAGAGCCTGGAATATACATAACACATTTAAAAAATAATAAATAAGAATGGTTCAGAAAAGAATTTAAAAAATAAAAAAGATATTTCTTCATTTAGTAGAATCAAATAATCTGTCACTAAATGGAAACATTTGTAAAAAACTAGTATGAAAATTAAAATTCAATTCTTAAAAAATGAATTAATATTAGAAATTAATAATTAATAGAAAGAAATTCTTAGATGGACTTTGACATGTATAAACATAGCCCACACTAAAGTTGAGGCACATACTTAGGTTTCTTATTTTAAGCATTATAACAATAACAAGAAATACATGTCTTTTTTTCCTCATAAAAACCTAATTTTCATTGATATTTTGAAATTAATATAAAAAATATGTCCATTAATAATATTGTGAGATACATACACAGAGACAGGGTGAGATGGATATATAATTATTTACATAATACAAAGATAAAGAAAAAACTTCATATTTCATTGGAGTAGCAAATCGGATAGTTCTTTATAAAATCTCATCCTGATAAAAAAATATGTATGCTTAAAAAAAGGTAAAGCAAAAAGTTTGTGCTATAATAATTCATGAATTCATGAGACTGTCACATTGCTTAATCCTTCAAAATAAGTAAACACAAAAGAATACTTCTTGATAAGCAAATACGAAAGAATATTTTTGAATACTTCTTAAGAAAACATTTTTATAAATGCAATGTTTCAAACACTGCCTAATAAATCAACTGCGTAAAGGGATGAAAATTTTAGAGTGAAACAGTTTAACCCTCTGAGTGTTAGTTTTGGCTTTTTCCACACTTTCAGGCACAGGTTTCCTGCATCAAAAAACCAGTTCCTCCATGGGATTGTATGAAAATATAGTGCATAGCAGGAAAATTTAAGTATCATTTTTCCTTGGGGCTCAACGCTTGGAGAGTTAATGTGTTTTAAAATTACAATATTTCAATTTTTATAATAAACACAATTACTAAATAAATTGTCAAAAACTTCTTGAAAAAAAGAAAAAAAAAGCACTATTTGAAAAACTTAAGTAATAAAACCAATATTCTCTTGTTAAACGTGGATGGGCAAGAGCTTGAGCAATATTTTTCATTTTATAATGAATGTTTATTTCTCTTATACAAAATAAAAAAAAAGCATTGGAGAGTATCCTTCCCCTTTTTTTATGAATGGCAACAAGCAAAGTTTTCTATATTAACCCCTTATATGTTAATAAAGGAAAAATGTGAATTTGGCTCTTATTACTAACAGCTCTTTGTGAACAATAAAAGCTAAGAAAAAAATTTTGAAAATGTAGACAAAAAAGAACAAAATAGCATAAAAAAATGCAATACAGATTCACCTTTTCCTCCATCCATGCCACCTATCATAAATAAAGAGCCAACTGTTGATTTCCGCGGCCTTGTACGAGGAGAATGCAACAAAGATCGTCTTTCTGGTAGAAGATGGTATTTCATAGCTTCGACAAATAAATTGTAACAAGTTGAATTTTCTCTAAATAGAGGATTAGTTTCGATATGATCTGCAAGAAACTATAAAAAGAATATCTTTAAAGAAGATACACTTATGGATAATCCTTTTTCAACAGACTTAGAGATAAAAAAGCGATCAAAATTAGTAAAGCTATGTCTTAAACAAAATGCTAAAAACACTTCATGAATATTTTTAATCCTAACAAAACAAAATACAATAGGCCTTTTTTAACACACATTAAATTTGACCATTGTCATCTTTTCTTATCTGTGTGATTTGAACATCTTTTATTTAAGTAATGAAATAACTTACATTTCATATATAGCAGAGTAAACATAATTATTCCCAATTCTTCCTTTCATTAAAGCAACCACCTTTAGATCAATATTTGGAACTTGGTTCGTTTGTCTCTTGGTTAGGTGATATTAGATCCAAAGTTATTTAATTATGTTGATAAGTACTGTGCTTCATAGAAAATTAAAAAAATACATAAATTAGAGGTAGTATAATTCATGTTTTAAAATTATGCTAGTTTCTACATGAAGAAACCTACAAAACATTGTGAGGATAGAAGCTATCGACAATGTCAACCTTCATCTATGAAAAGGTACCCCAACCAAGGATTGAGTTAACATGTCTTGAATACTAGGGAATTGGAATTGTATATTTGTAGTGGTAGATATAGACTACAAGATGAACGAACACACAAAGAAACACTGGGAAAAAACTAAGTAACAATTTGTTCATAAATGAAACTTCTTGCCTTGCTATTATCATGGCAGAACAATAAATAAATATATTACAAAATTTACCTATCACATACAATTATATAGTCTGTCTAAGGAAAGAACTCCCCATACCATTCATCTGGAGCAGTGACTGTGACTATAGTCGAGGTTCAGGTTAGCAAGAGAAAGGGAATCAAAGGAGAGAGAAACTCCCCTCACTGAAATGCACCGTTTCTTATAGCAGCAGACAGCCTTAGACTTTGTGGCGAGAGGAGTTCTTTTTATAAATAAGCTATATTTATTCTAACATTTTTCAATATGATTCTATCTATACACAAAATAAATGATTAAAAAATCCAAATTCAGAAGAAAAAAAATTTCAACAACAGACTAGATACTTTAAAAAAATGTATACCTTAAAAAAATTATAACATTTAAAAAAAAATTATGGTAAACTGAATGAAAAGGCTGTTAAATAAGAGTTTATCATTTACATAATAAAAAGTTTTTAGCTCAAAAAGTCTTTTATTTAATAAGAACTACACTACTAATATTCACACAGCATCATATTTTTAACCATATAGAATATAAATTTAAAAAATTATTGAGTCAGCAAACCTTAAAAAAGCTGTTTAGAGATTTACATCATCTAAAGTTTACAAATGCACTTAATCATTTTCATTTCAGAAAAATGTTCTAAGATGTAAGAATATATAGAGTGGTGTACCTTCTTAAATGTGCAAACAACATAATTTAGCTATATTTATTTGATATAGGACTGTTTGTCACAAATTAAGTTGTACAATTTTATCAACCATGTATTTTAAATTTTAATGAAAACTACATTGATTACCTGCGGAGATAAAAGAGGAAGTTTAATAGTTTCTAAGAGACTTGGTAGATCCTTCCTTCGGTTTGGTAAATCATAATCCACCCACATCATAAGAGACTGAAATGCTTCTTCTTCACTAGGAACATTCAGCATATCACTAGCCAATAATTTCTTAACTTCATCAGCAGTTAATAGTAAATACTCTTGATTAGGAATAACCTCCATAAAATGATCCTATAAAAATTTGATAACTAAGAATTATATATTTAATAAGTCACATGTAGCTCACTTTAATGAACTAATAATGATAATTCACATAGCCTTCAAAAATTTTAAATGTAGTCATTTAAGATTTCTTCCTTTTTTTAGAGTCGCAATACAGGTATGAAATTTTTCACTATGAAGATAGAAAAATAGACAGAATAACGCAAGAATTTAATTTCCTTCTAAGAAATCAGTGGGAAAAAAAGTATATTTGAATGTTTTCTATTGTTGATGTGTAAAACCATTATCAGTTTTAAAGACGTTCACTGAGGTGCAATATTTTTTAAGAAAAAATTATACAGTAGTATCTCATTATTGTGGACTCTACATTAACATTTCTTAGCTACACTAAATGTTTTTATTAATTTGAAATATCATAAATTCAAAGGATTCGGTATGTAAAAAATATAATTTTTTCAAACTTTTGACTTTTTGATTTTTAAATTTTTTAATTTTAAATTTTTCAATTCTTCTTCAATTTTATTTAATAATAGTAATAAGATTTTTTGAATTGTAAGGTACAAAAGTTTTGACATCAGTTCAAAGAATGCAATTTTGCATGGCAAATTATAACATTTGAGCAAAATTGGTCAAATAGTTCCTGATAAATCAAAATTTAAAAATACAACTTTTATAAAATTCAGTTATGCAGGAACTATTAGACTATAATGCCCATGCTAATTAATTAGCATATTTGAGGTCACTCCCTCGAACTAATAAGATTAAATTCCAGGATGTCAAGATCTGACCATTACATCAAAAGTTATTCAGGGTGGTTTGTTGAATTTTTTTTGTGCACTGTACAATGAGCAAAAAAAAAAAAAAAATATCACCCTGAATAACTTTCATTCTAATGATCGGATTTTTATGTATTAAGTGTCACTCTTAATGGTTTCTTCTAATATGCTAATTAATTAGTGCCAGCTATTAATTAAGTTGCAGAATCAGACATAAAAACGTACTTTCTCTAAATAGACATAATTTTTTTTTTTACATATTTTGATCTCTGACCGTCAAAATAAGGGACAAAATTATGAAAAAATTAGATTAAAATTTAGGGCACTAGGAAGTCTTAAATATTTGGAATCTATCCAAAAAGATGACAAGAACTAACACCATAGCAGGATTAGAAATTTAATATAACTAAACTCTAGTCACATAATCGACAAGAGAGAAGTACTCTGTAGCTAATCAACCAAGCTGAGAGAATAAAAAGAATGAAATAAAAACTGAAGCTATTCCTTGTTACCTTGGGTCAGAATTTTTTTTCTTTTTTAAATAGTTTAAAAGAAAAATATCTTGAAGTTTCTAGGCAACAGATTTGCTTTTAGTTGATTACCACCCCAAAAAACAAAGATTGCTTTCATTTTTATCTCCTTTAAAAATAAAATTTGAATTGATTTATAAATTAGTTATAATAAGACTCTGATCAAAATAATGATCAAGAAAGATCCATTATACTTGATGGTAAAAACTTGAATGGGCTTCAAAAAATTGGAAGGAAATAAAACGCCCATTCTTAAGACTCGCATGATATGAATGAAGAAAAAAGTGATATATAAAACAAAAATGTAAAGTTGCAATGAGAAAACATAAATAAAAGTAGAAAATAAAACTGAAAGAACCGCAGTACCCCAAAAGGGAAATAGAAAATAAAAAATTAAAAATAAAAACAAAACTAGAAAAACTTCAATAGCCTGGAAAGGCAAATAAGGGCAAAATGCATTTCCACGTTCCATGGTGGGAAACTAATATCTTCAACAAGAGAATTGGCATTCATATGAACAAAACAAGATACCTGGGTATCAAGATGAGCAGATATGGCAGGAGTGGTTAGAATTTTGGCATTATCGGGATTAAATTTATCCCCAAGAAGCAAAGAATGTGTAACAAAAGATTTATTGTATTCTTGAAAAGGTACTTATCTACCATGTTCCTTTAGTCTTTTGAGTGAGCTAAATATTTACTTCATACATTGCCATTCTCAGGGCATGATAGACGTTAATGACTAGTGACATGAATTTTTGAGTGCTCAAAAGATGTCTCCTTTTATTTACATTTTCTTATTTTTTGAAGATAATGAAATTTTTATCTTCCAGCTTTAGTTTTTGGGGATTATTCAGTAAATGACACAGTATATTAAATTAAAATATTTAATGCAGTAATAAAATTAGTTTTATGTAAGATAATGGTTATGGCTCTTAGTTTGAAAAAAAAAAACAAAATATATAATTCATCAAACTTTCTAAAAAATTTAAAGCAGTATGTTTTCATTTATTCTTTTTAATTTTATTTTGTTTCATTTATTTTTTAGCTGCTGCTAAAAAAATACATACTAAACATAACATAATAATAAGCATAATAATAACATGCAAAACATAATATATAATTCATCAAATTTTTTAAAATATTCAAAGCAGTACGTTTTCATTTATTTATTTTTATTTTTTTAACTTATTTTTTAGCTGCTGATCTGAAAAACATTTTTTAGGATGTTTAACAATACCATCTACAAGTGAAATTTAAAAAGTCGAATGAAACAATGGAATGACCCCTCTCCCCTGGAATCAAAATCAAGCAGTTATGAGTCAATTATTTCGAACAAGTTAAAGTCTCTTCCCTATTCAAAATTTTTGGAAAATATATATTTTATTCATTGATCCAAAAATATATTCTAGATATGTTTTAGTGAATACTTAAGGACATATTTCAATAGAATTTGTATATTACTCTTTATTTAATTTATTTTTTGCTTAAATAACTAAAGTTATATGATTAAATGTATGAACTGAATACTAAGTATGATGGTTTTCACTACCTTTCCTCATTTTTTCCGCCACACTTAACAAAATAAAAGAATAAGTTTAATTTCTAATTGTTTTAATATATTTAATTATTCAAACAGTTTTCAAGCAATTAAATGCTACGTCCAAACAGATTTCAATTATAGGGTTAATTAAATCGTTGTCACATTTCAATTGAGGACATCACATTTCAATAAAGGAAACATTAACATTCTTGTCGTTTTACTGTGAAATAAAATAACAATTTCTATGTATAAATTCTGAAAAAAGTATATTAAAACTATTTGCTTAACATATTACATCTATAAAATAATTTGTTATCCAAAAATCTCTTAACCTTTTGGTTGCGGCTAGTCAGGTGAAAAAATTCTCCTCTTGTTACAGAGCATTTTTGCAGAAATTTTCCCCCACTTAGTCAGTGGGTGGTACCAACTTTAACCAGCTATGAATAGGAAACATTAATTTGTGTGTCACTTTTCTAGGAGGCAAAAGTAGTAGGGTTGTTATGAACATCGTTATCATAGACATTTTGGCATAGTTATGCATACTTTGGCATTTTTTATTTGTGATGTTTAACACATTATGAGAAAAAATTAAATAATAGCTTTTAATTAATTTTACTTAATAAAGTGATGTTTCTTCTAATGCAAAGAAAACATTCATTTAAAAATGATTTAAATATTTTGCTAATTTAATACAAAATATGCATTTTATTGCATCTGAAAGATTGTTAATAGCCTATTATAAACAAATCTCTTTTAATTTTTTAAAAGAGAATAAAAGAAAAATATATAAAATATTTTAATAAAATGTGCATTATAAAATGTGCATTTTATTGCATCTGAAAGATTGTTAATAAACTTTTATAAACAAATCTCCTTCAATTTTTTCGAATAAATAAAGCATTATTTGAAGTTTTATTCTTATCCTAAAATCTTAAACACACTAATTAGTTTTTATAATTTTGAAAAGCAAATTATTAAAATTTTAAATGATGAACGTTGTATCTCTTACACGTTTTTGTAGGTATTTTAATTTGTTAAAGAAATAGCAAATGTAGATTTTGTTTTGTGAAACATTTTTTATTCATTTTACTTGCTAGTTTCCTACCCCCCCTTAGAGTAGCGTCAATAACATTCAAACAAAATTAAAATATAAATATTCTTTAATTAAAAATTTTCTAAGAACATTTTGCCTTCATTTCTGTTTTGAAAACATAAATGTTACACGCGTATATTAAATAGAAATTCATTAAGATTTTACAAGAATATTTTATAGAAATCTTATTAGAAATATAAAAAATAATTATAAAGACGCTGAAAATATTAAAGAATATGTTTGAAATAAGTTCAAAAAATAAAAAAAAACTCCATTGTTTATCTCTTTTACAGCAAAAATATTAAGCAATAAAAAATTTGCCATGATTCTACTTACCTTATATTTGAGCCCCATATTGAAAGAATAAAGATATTATTCAATTTTGAAATTTTGTTTTGAAATATTAGCTAATTTTATAAAATAATAAATACAAAATATGTAATACTAAATAATATTAGTTATCAGTGCAATTTTGGATTGATTGGTTTTCTTTATACATTCCTTATTCTCTTTTTTTTCTAACACAAAAAGGAATATTCTTCTTAATTTCTTACTAATTTTAATTTTTTTAGAAGTAGGAAAGGTTTTGTTCAAAAAAAGTATCCCCTGAGTTATTTCACTGGGAAGTATTTCATGATTTCCATGCCCATATGAAATTTTTAAATCATCAATTGTTATAAGACACATCTATACAAGTTCTACTGACACAATGATTGTAAAAAATACATTTCCTTTAGTCATGGTGTGGTCTTTCTTCAGGTGTTTGAAATAACTATTGTTAAGAATTTTAAAAATGACAGAAACCAAAATAAATAATAAGAACCCTCCCAAAACACATTCTGACTGATAACCCAACAATAAGAAGGAAATGCCACCTCGCCTGTGGAAGAGGCAGGAATGATTTTGGCTTCCTTTATCTTTTAGAGAAGGAGTAACAATTTATTTTGTGCCCAGCAAAATAAATTATGACAAACTGTGTAAAACTCTCAATAGAAAAACTTCGTTGGAACTTGAAAGAAAATTTTTTCCTTGAGAACTTCAAGCAACAGGTGAGAAAGATATTTTTCT